CATCATGTTTTTCTGCTTTCACTCGCTGCAGAGTTTTTTAAATGCAGGAACAGTTTGCACTTCTAGAGTGAAACGGGGACAGGTGTAAAGAAAGGCTGTTCAGACCATCCAGCTTCCCCACAGATATTTTTAATGACAGAAAGCAAAGGGAATTTTGTGTCTCAGCTTCAAAACATGCAAACTGAGGTGTGAGAAGATTTTTGACTGCAAATGCAAGAAGCAAGTAAAGGGAAAGGTGTGGGTATATGAGAGGGAACTGAAAAGCCATGAAAAGAATCTATTGCCAAATGGCTGTAAACAAATTTAAGCTGGGAAGAAGTAGTTTGCTAAAATAATTGGGAATGGTCTGTCCTTAGGTATTCCAGAATGAATATAATGGGGACAAAAGATCCTTGCAAACCCTGTTATGGAATAGGTACATTTCTGTTGAAATTTGGGAATAGCACTAGGATGGGAAGGGAGGGGCTTTTGATCCTCTGGTTGTGTGGAGTTTGGAGTTAAAAGAATTGAGAGTCTTAGCTGATGTCATGGTATCCAATTCATTTAAAACTGTCATATTTCCAGTGACACTTTTTACTTTATTGACTGAAATCTCAGTGAGGGTATTGAAGTGAGAACTGAACTTCAGCCCAAATGTCCATCTCATGCTTTGCCAACTGCCACTGGAATGTGCCAAAAGCTCCTTACCTGGCCTGCTGCAAGGAAATGGCCTTGGCAAAGGAACACACCAGAAATTAATGAGTTTTAATGTCAGTTCCCTGCAAGCCTAATTCTGCCTTTCAAGAAAATCTAGGAAGCTGGTCCAAGGCTCCTCCCTGTGATAAGGCTAATTTGCATCCTCAGAAATGAGGGATGGAAGAGAATATGTTGGAAATAAAAGTCCCTTAAGCAGTTTAATTGATTTGGTTTTCATATCTAAAGGGAAATTAGGGTCTGTCTTTAAGACCCCAGCATTTCCTTTTGCCATTTTAAAGCAATTTCTAAATGGATTTGCTCGTTTAAACAATGCAGACTGAACATGGATATTGAGAGTACTGGAATTTACCAAGTCTAAACAAGACAATTTTCTGCAGAACTGATTCTACATGGATTAAGCAAGATGAGCAGATGAGGTAGAGTGAGCCCACTGAAACAACAAAACCCCCCACGGATGTGTTTTAGTGGGAATTTTGGGATAATGGGTGACTTAATATTTTTTATTATCGTGTGCCCTGTGGGACACATTTCACTCTGAAATATGGAGAGGACTTTTCTGGCTTGCATTAAAACTCTTCCTGAAGCTAAAGCCCTCCATCTCCCTGAGCAGTCATTCCTCAGGGATGTTCTGTTTTGGGCACTCATGAGTCACAGATGGAAAAGGTGATAACCTTGGTTGCCTAAAGCTCTGTACATTCCTTAATATCCAGTCACTAAGGAGTGAAAAAGTACTTATCCCGGGGGGTGAGATGCATTTCCTCTGGCCAAAAGGTGAACAGTTGATAAAATTCCTCCTCATTGCTTGGATTTAGAGACTCTCACAAAGAAAATGTAATAGTGTTTCATTTACTTGGACTTTGGTTGGTTTGAAGCCATTTCAAACATGTGAGCTCAACTTATTTTTAAGCAGCTTTCTTACTCCTTAAATATATGAAAAGATAATCAGGAAAGCTCACTGTAAGTGTGAGTGTTACAAAGAACTTGTCACAGTGAACACAAGCTCGAGATCTCTGTTTATAAAGGTATGATCCCCACATGTCAGCGGCATGATTTTACCCACACCAGCACAGTGAACATTGAACAAATATTGACAAATATTGCATTTACAGGCTTTCCAGTAATTCCTTTCAAAATCATACTAACTGTGATGATAGTTATGCTGTGGCAGTAGGATTGTTCTTATGTTCTGTCCTGGCTGAATTTTTTTCAAGTTTGCTAATTTGGGGGGATTAGAATTCTAACATAGAATTCTAATATAGAATTCTAATCTATATATGGTACAGAATTGTTGTTATATCCCTTGGATCATCTTCCTCAGAGGACTAAGTTTCTTAGAAACAAATTCTTTGCCATCTCTGATAACAGAGATTATGAACCATTAACTTCTAGCAACACTACAAGTATCTGTACATGTTAAAAATAGGCTCTAAAATACAAGCCCCTGCTATCCTGAAATTTCTTAGTTCATACCCACTCTATTTTGTTTTTATGTTTCCCTTCTGCACCTCCTGTAAAATCCATCTGACAGATGCTAACACAGATCTGAGATTCATTAGATGGTCATTAATTATCCTAAAGGGATATTTATGGATAGCAGCACTGTGTAATTTGGGCTGTCAAGACAAATTGACCAAATGGCTTCTCTGTAACCACTCAGCAACTGAGGCAGGCTAATGACAAAATTCTGTGCATGGTATCCCTCTGAATCCAACACAAAATCTAGTGCAAGAAAGAGTTTAGTGAAAAGAGTTTAGTCTGGTGATCATCATGAGTCTCAAAAGAAACTCATGGTTTAGATATTGGAGCAATTATAACTCCATGGCATTTTTCATTAATTAATTTATGAATGAAAGTTTCTATATAAATAGCATTTTATATAAATAGTGTTACTGGGCTTTCAGGTGGAGGGTTGAGAGTGGGCAATCCTGAGCTGGGAGCTCTCCCTCAACCTCAGTCGTGTGTTTCATCAGCCTTCCCCTTAAATTATTTTTCCATTCATTTTGTGACTTAAAGGCCAAATGTAAAATCTAACAAAAACACCCTAAACTGATCACCCCCTTGTCCAAATAAAGGTGTCATGATTTCTACTGAAATAATTTCAGGCAGTGTGCTTTTATCAGGAGTGGTGTGTCCAGGAGCCCTGGATTCCTCACCCCAGCTCTGAGTGCTGCTGCTTCTGGCTGTTACCCAGGGGATTCATGCACTGAACGCTTTGGTGGCTGCTCCTGGCAGCACAAACTGCTTCTCACTCACTGAGTTCTTTCACCGAAAATACATTTTAAGAGTTATTTGCTCGTGAAGTTGCTTTCCTTGCTGCTCTTCATTCGTGTTCTGCTGATGCTCCACTGCATGATTAGCTTTTGGCCCTGCTGGTTTATCTCTATATTACATCTGGCACTGAGCAAATTACAAGGAGGAATTACATTAATTTAGCCAGTGCTATATTTCAGTGAACCTACTCTTCAAAATATTATTGTATGCAACAAGACTGATCCCAGGGAGTTAATATTTTAAGTGCAAAAGGTCAAGCATGTCTTGTTTATGCTTCAAGGCCATGTCTGACAGTCAGTTTTCCTGCTGTTTGCACCCATCAGTCCGAATAATCTTTATGATCTACTAATTGAAAAAATACCCTTCAGAGTTATGCCGTGGAGGAGAGTATAAAGGTGGCTGTACAGAAATTCTTCAGGCTTTTACATAAGGCAGTAATTCCTCAGTGCCTCTCACCCAGCCCTTTTCTGAAGTTACAATTGTCTATATAATGCATTAAGAGCAAGCTTAAAAGTCTCTATGTAGCTTTACTCTGAGCCATCTGCTGAGCTCTGCTTTCCCTCAAGTGTTCTACAAGTTGTGTTGCTAAGATAAAAATGACTAAAATTTTAATGGTTTGCCGAAGGTGTTTTTTCTAAAACATTTAACTCTGGTAGCAGTGAGAAAACAGCAAACCCATTAACAATAATCTTTACTGCAGACCTGTGATGCAGAGCTGTAGTTGCTGGGCTGAGCACTGTTTCCTTGTGTGTGCACAGTCACATTTGGGGCCCCATGGGCTCAGTGCTCTCACCTAGAAGGGAATCTGGAGGAGGTGGTGGCAGGACACCTTTGTGTCTCTCTGTTCTTAGCACTGGTGTCCCAGAACAGTTTCTTAGAACAAGGATGACACAAGATAACTAACTCATTCCAGGCTTGTTACAGAAGTAACTGCAGAATTTACGGGAAAGAGGGTTCATTTATTCCTGGCCTGTGTCACCCAGATATCTCCTTCCCAACAGAAATCCACAGAGCTGGAAAAATCCTTCTGTGGGCCTGTTTCAAACTGGAAGTGGAAGCAACCCTTGGTATAATCATGGGTGAT